ATAGTAACAACTGCAATAAAAAGTTTATGTAATGACTCAGCATTCAGTGTATAAAGTCTGGGAGTTTGTATACTACCATGCCCTCTGGATCAGCTCAAGACAAACTTTAATGATTAAAATCCGCCTCCTAGTGACCAATTCACCGAACTACATTTTTACAGTCATTTGCATTGATCTCAACTCATTGACCGTTTTCTTGTTTTATGTGATGAAAAGCAGTGTAAAAGAATATAATGTGTCTCAACAGTAGTTCCTCAGGGGGTAATTAAACGATCTTAACTTCCTATGTTTTCCAGATTGCCAAAGAAGGGAAACCCTCGACGCACAACCTGGATTATCAACTCTCGTCGCAAAGGCCCTGAGGGAAAAGGACAGTGGGACCCCCAGAGTGGATTCATCTATTTCTGCTCTAAACACTTCACCCCCGATAGCTTTGAACTCTCCGGTGTCAGGTCTGCAAATAATTACTCTCTTTACATTTCCTTCACTGAAATGTCACTGAAGCAATGTCCAAAAAAAGCTTTAGATTTAATTCTGTTGTTGGAATACAATGTATTAGAAGGTACAAATAAATACATAATTTAGATTTTCTCCTTTTTTAGTGGTTATCGCAGACTGAAGGACGATGCGATTCCCACTGTATTTGAAAGTCAGCCTCACGAAAGAGGAAATGCTGGGAAATGTGCAACAAAACGCAGAGGCAGACCTCGAAATGTGGACAAGCATATCAGGTATTTTACATAAAGCTGCAAAAAACTAAATCACCTATTTCTAGTGTGCTTTCTCTTGTTTAAAAAAAAAGAAAGAAGTGTGCTTAATTGTATTCAGTGTGCACTTGTAGTGTACTTCAAACTGAAACATGACTGTGTTTCTTAACACACTTAAGTACACTTAAAAAAGTGCACTTTACAATAATGTCAAATAGTAGAAAAAAGTACATTTTATATCATTATGTTTTAATAATCTTGTGTTATGCTTTAAAAAAGTACACTTATTTTGATGTGTCAACTAACATACCAAAGCACAAGTGCTTTATTTGAACTGTAGTGTGTTACTTAATATTACATTTAAAGTTAGTATATTTTAAATGCACTAAACTGTCAACTTTACCATTTAAATGTGTAATTACAGATATAAAAACATTTTAATAGAAAATATTATTTTAGTTTATCATTGTCAGTGTATTTGGCAGTCCACTTTAACCATTTTTCAGAGACAAAGTAATTGAAATTACTTATAAATATGTACTCAAGTCCAACCTAAATGGATCATAAAACACTATGGAGGTCAGCTAATTGCATTTTAAACTAATACATTTTCATTTCATTACAATTAACATGCAATTAGGTGTACCGCAAGTATATTCTATTTAGTAGTTTATTTCCAGATAAGTGCCCTTTTTATAAAGTATACTTTTCCACAAAAGTTTTTTTTTTTTTTAGTGTACGTAGGTTTTTAACCCGTTTAAAATACTAAATGTGCATATTTGACACCAAATCTCTTCAGTGTCAAGAACTCCTCCAATAATGGGGACTCAGAAACCCAGGAGATCTTCAACAATGAGACTGTATTGCAAAAAGTAGCAGAAGATGAGTGTGAAAAAGGCGAAGGGGAGGAGAAGCGTGCTCAGCCCTCTTCTCAGCCTTCATGTGAGGCTCCTCAAACCTCTGAAGAGTCGTCAGCGCTAGATAAGCAGCCACCTGACCCCTCTTCTCCTCCTCGTCCACCTTCTCCATCCCGCTACATGAGACGTCTCCCGCCTCCTCCTGGATTTTACTTGCCCAAAGAGCACAACTACGCTCAGCTGTGCCCTCTAGTGTGGCGCAAGCGCTACGACAAAGCCATCGACAGCTTGGAAAAAGCACTGCGTCTTCTGAGTGCCGCTCGACGGCGGGAGAACCGCCTACGCCACGCGTTACTGCGCCTCAGAGAGAACCGACTCAGAAGCACGCTGTTTCGCACACGAGACAGAGCCAAAGGAAAGGAGGCCCAGGGAGGCAGGTTTTCAAGCTGGGCTGCTCAAAAGGGACAGGGGGCGAAGGTGGAGAGAGGTTGCAATCTTGAGGGATTGGAGGAGAGCGCAAGTGATGAAATAGACCTTCTGGCTGAGGGCTGGAACGGACAAGCACAGACAAAAGGAAAAGTCGCTGGGGAAGAAGAAGAAGGGTGCTGCTTTTATTGTGGAAGAGACAATGAAGGAAACAAAGTAAGTGGATACAAAGAAGCAACTGTAGGACCTGATGAGGGTCAAGGATCCCACACAAGACATGAGCCCAAGAGAATCCAGGAAATCAAAAGGAAAGCCAAAGTGCTCAAAGAACAAAAGTCAGAGACCTCAAAGACTGATGTAGCGCCTGTGGAGCAACAAAGCTACTATTTATATTACTGTGAGAGCGCAGAGAACGAGGACACGATGCAGGTGGTCACCATGGAGTTGCTGAGCAGCGAGGAGGAAACATCTCTAGAGCTTCACAGCAATGCAGAAGAAATCCAGCAACTCGCTCTGCTGCATCCACAGACTGACATGCACACTGCGCCCGGGCCTGTTCAGTACTCCACAACGCTACAGGAAACTTCTGCGCCATTCCAGCTGCAGCAAATCCAAGTGCTTCAGCCGCAGCAAGGACTTCTTCTCCCTGACCTCGCCGCTAAGGAAAAGAGCGACATGGAGCAGCAGGGACAGCAGTTCTTCTGGGTACAGGAAGGGACTGATGATCACGTCCTGCTAATGCCGGTTCCTGCCGAAGCGAGGGAAAGCAACGGGGTTGATGTTGAGACTGTGATTGAGACTGTGCAGCCTCAGGTGATATTGGAGCGATATCAGTCAAAGGACGCTGAAGACAGGGATGGACTGACTGTGAAGTGTGATTCCACGGTATTAACAGCTACTGCGTGGGGAGACGGTCAGCTCACACACCAGTCGGACCTGAGGCCCACGGCAGATGTCAGAGAAAGACTGAAGGAGCATCTAGAGGGGTTTCAGCTTCAGCTTAGCAGCGAGTTTATTGACTGAACCGATCGACGTGACATATTAAAGGGGTCATATGATGCTGCTAAAAAGAACATTCTTTTGTGTATTTGGTGTAATGAAATGTGTTTATGCGGTTTAAGGTTAAAAAAACACATTATTTTCCACAT